GGGCCCAGCCGCACCCAGCACAGGAGTCCTCGCTGTGCTCAGCAGGGTGCCACGGCCCCGGGTGGGAGGGGCCCCCGGGCTCGACCGTTGCCTCTGCCTGGAGCGGCTCTCTGCACCCGGCACTGCCCCGTCCAGGTTGACTGTCCCTGGGGTGGGCAAGCAGCTGGGCGCTCCATGCCAGCGGGAGGCACTGGGAAGGACCCCAGCCAGAGCAGCATCCACCCACCCACCCATCCGTCCATCCGTCCATCCATTCATTCAGCCAAGGGGACGGTGCGGTCCTGGGCAGACAGGGAGGGCCCCGCGCCCCAGGGGGGTGTGCGGGGGAGCGGGTGGGAGACCGGCCCCGAGGCAGCCCGGAGTCAAGCCGGCTTGCGCAGTGGCGGCCGCGGGTGCAGCGCGGTGGGCGTGGGAGGCGGGGCTCCCCTTCTCTGTGGGGGCCCTCGGGGGCCCTCAGCGAGGACCCCGGCCTGCCGGCAGGGCCGGTGGGGGCGGGGAGGAGGTGCGGGCTGGGAATGTAAACAGGGGGAGACCTCTGCGCGTCGGCTGCGCTCTCTGAAGGAGGCCGGGTCTCCTCTGGGGCACACTTGACTGTGTAAATATTTTCCTTAGGAGTAAGGAGAGAGCCTCCATTCACGGGGTAGGTGGCACTTGAAAGAACTGAGAAGTGTCTGTTCGGCATAAAAGCTAAAAACAGTGTCCAAGGCGCCTTAAAAAATCATTTCTGCAGCTCGAACACGGCCAAGCTGGGGTTTTTTTTCTTAATGCAAAAAATAAATAAATATCCCCGCGCCCAGTCGAGCGCTCAAAGGTCTGTGCCAACAGCCCCGAGCCTCAGGTCCAGGAGCCGGCGAGGCCGGCCGGCCGGTGACCACCCCCTGGCTGGCCGCCAGCGGACGCCGCCCAGCCCGGAGCGGGTGCCCCTCCCGAGGCCCGACGGGCTCAGGTCCAGTCCCGGTCGGAAGGGTCCAGGGGCCTCCCTTCCGCCCCGCACCCCCGCTGCGCCTGCCCCCAGGGCGGAGCTGGCACCAGCAGGGTCTGGACACGGGTCCTCCTGGAGCAGCGCCGAGCTCCTGCCGGCCCCTGGCCGCGCCCTGGGGCCCGGGGACCAGCCCTGCCCTCTGTCCTCAGGGGTCGAGGCCCGCAGTGGCCTGGTCAGCTGTGGCGGCTCCCGCACACGGACCACGACTTCAGTTTGCCAAAGGAAGTCAAGATGAGGGGTGCCCCTGGAAGTCCTGCCTCGGGCGGGGGGGGGTCGCTGAGGCAGAACCAGGCCTGTGACCTCCCGCCGCCGGCCGGCCCCTGGGGTCGCTGAGCCGCGTGGAGCCCGCGGTGTCAAGCAAATCTGCTGACCTGGGACTCGGGCTTCGCTGTCTGTGCAGGCCAAGTGTCTGCTGCACCCTGAGCCCCGCGGCCAGCGGGGTTTGCACGGCACGGGGAGGGTGCCGTTGACCCCTCGGGCCCCCGGGCTCCCTGAGTGACCTTCACAGGAGCCCTGACCCCCCAACACCCACAGAAGGGGCCTGGAATCAACTTCCAGCTGCTTCTAGACCTGGACACACGGCCCTGAGCACAAAGAAGTGACCCCAACCACGAGAGGAGAGAAGTGGGGTGCTCGGGGGCTGCGGGTGAGGGGTCCGAGGGGCCTCTGGCCACAGGCCAGAGGGGGCAGCCGGGGCTGGTCTGTCCACAGCGGACACTGAGGGCAGAGATGCCACTGGCCACGCAGCTGGGCCTGGACCCGGCCGTGCACGCGGGCAGCGGCGACTCCGCGCCGCCTCCTGGAGAACAGAGGGGGTTTATTTTAAGATGCCCCCCCTCCCCACCGGCCCCGCCGAGCGCCGTCCTGGCAGCGGCACCTGGGGTGAAGTGCCGGGTCAGGCCTCGCTTCTGGCTAAAACGCTTAGTCAAACACACCTAATCCTCTGCCTGGGCGCGAGCTGGGGCTGCGGGAGCCAGGGGCACTGCCAGCGGCCAGCGGCCAGCGGCGTGGTGCTGAGGACGCAGCCTGCAAAGAAAGAGGGTTTTCGGCGGCGCAGCAGGCGGGACCCAGGGTGAGCGCGGCCGTGTCCGTGAGGTCAGCGGCCGGTGAGCAGACGCGTGGGCCTGCCCGGCCCCGCCCTGCAGGCCTCACTGCCCCTTCAGGCACCTGGAGGGCGTCCACGCGGGGCTCCCGGGCCACCTCCGCTGCAGCTCATGACCGAGCTGGGCTTCTAGTCGCCTGGGCCCCACCCGCTGCGTGGCGTCACCAGCTGGCCCCTGCCTGCGGCCCCCAGAGCCCAGGGCCCTGCTCCCCAACAGCCAGGAGCTGGGGCCCCTGCAGCCCCTGCTCCCGCTGCCCCTGGACGCCCACGCACCTCTGTCCCTCTCGCTGGGTGTGTCTGGACATCTGCCTCCCTGTCCCTGAGTGACCACGGACTCTGGAAAGGTGGGCTCCGGTGCTGGGCTCCAGAGTCCAGGGCTCTCTCTGCGCAGAGAAGTTCTCGCAGTGTGGGCCTGGCTTCCGGGGCAGCTCCTGGGGACGTGTCTCAGTCTGTGACGAAAGACAGCGGTCAGGCTGGCCTTGGCCCAGGACGGGGAAGGCTGGACCTGGGCAGTCTTGGGGCAACAATTCTGGCCGCGCAGCCGCAGGATGGGCTAGGGAGCATCCGTCCGCTGTGCGGGGCACTGGCCGGCCCTGGGGGGAGTGTACATGTCCATCTTGAGCTACGGACATAGGAGCAGGAGCCCTAAGACAGGCCACGAAGGCAGGCCCGGCTCCTGCACCTGGGGACAGGGAGGCCACATGCATCCAACTGGGCATGCTGGGTCCCCTCTCATCGGGCTGCCCACCAGACGTCCCCACCCCGTCCCCCTGACCCGGCCCATGGTCACTACTGACCACCAGGGTGATCTAACCCTCCCTCGGGGCCCGCCCACCCCATTATGGCCACCCCGGGGTGCCTTTCTCCAGACCTGGCCTGGGCAGGGGTGGGGCTGGAGCCACCCAGTAGCATCCTCCAGGGAGGAGCTGGCCTAGCCCACCCCACAGGCTGGTGCGTCAGGCCCAAGCCTCCCTCGGTGCTCTGGCCACCGAGTCCACAGGCACAGGTCCCCCGAGGCTCAGGTCCAGTGGGGAGGCCCAGGGGGGCTGCAGCTGGGGCAGGCCGGTGGTCCCTGCGTGCGGTCAGAGCCTTCCCCTGCTGTTGGGTGCCGGCCCCGTGACTCGCCAGGGAGGGAGAGCAGGGCCCAGGGTCTGCATCCTTGACCCAGGAGGGAATGGTGTTGGGGCTCAGGGGCTCCCCCAGAAGGGAAGTGGCTCTGGAAGACGCCCCCCTCCCGGAGAAGGTTTTCTCCTCCTGGGTTCAGTGGCCCTTGGACCACAGAATTCTGCCCAGTTGAGGGGGCCCGGGCACCCCCACCTGGGATCCCCAGCCTACATGACACTGGCCATCCCTGCTGGTGGCCGGGCCGGGTGCGGCCTGGACGGGCGACAGTTGGACAGCGGGCCTCTGTTCTGGGGCCGTGCGGAGGACCCTGGGCGCCTGCCCGGCCGTCGGGCATCACGCCGCGCAGCCACTTCCCGCAGGCCCTGGCCTCGCCGCGATCTGGGCGGCCAGCCCCACTCTCCTCTCTCCGCGCTGGCCGAGCCTCCCGCCAGCTTCCCTGGCTCTTGACGCGGGCGTGCCAGGGTGGGCAGAAACAGCCTGCCCGCGCCGCCGCCTTGGGGGGCCCGCTGCCCGCCGCCCGGGCCCGTCCCTGCCGCTGTCCCAGGAGACCCGCGGCCCCGTGGGGCTGAGCGTTTTCTGTCTCGTTCTCTCTTCACGGAGAGTCACTTCCCAAACCCCAGTTTCAGATTCTATTAAGAGAAACATAAATTCCCCAAATGGGCAGAATTCTCAACACTGAAAGACGCGGCTTTTTGTTATCACAGCTGAGCCGGGCCCCGGCCAGGCTGGCACGCGGCGTCGGGCCTCTCGCTGGCCCACGGGCCCGGGGCGCCCCACTCCGCGCCCGCCATCCGAGAGGCCACCGCGCGGCCCGAGGCGCGAGGAGCGGAAGCTCGGAGTCGGCACCATTCCTCGTTCTGGTTTTCAAATATCCCTTTCGGTCTCGGTTTCTGTGTTACGGAAAGGACGCCGGCGCTTCTACACGGCGTGTGTGCCCGGCGCTGCCGCCCGGCGGGAGGAGCCCATTCTCCCGCTAACCTGTTAGTTCGCTCGGCTTGGAGAGCACTCGGGGCCCGTCCCTAACGCCCTGGCGTGGGGCCTGTGGTTTGCAGAGGGGCGCAGCAGACTCACCCCAGCGCCAGCACCAGCCTGGGCCCGCGCTGAGCGTGGGGGGACGCCCAGACCTGCTGGCACTGCCTCCTGCCCCCGAGCCCGAGCCGGGGCCAAGGGAAGGCAGGAGTCCCACGGTGCCCACGGCCCTCTGCGAGAGGGTCAGTTGTGGCCACCCCGGCGCGCCCAGGACGCTGCGCCACAAGGCCCCCTGCCACCTGACCCCTCTGAGGAGGCCCCTCCAGGCCTCAGGGCAGTGTCCTCCTCCCGGAGCCAGGGACGTGAGCAAGAGCAAGGGACCGCGTTGCTGCCCGCCTCCCCCACGCGGCAGTCGGCCCGGGCACAGCTGACACGATGGTGCCCGCACTGCGGCGATGGTGCCCCCTCCCGTCCTCGGTGGCACGGCCAGGCCTGGCCGCAGGCCGCTCCTCTCGCTGGAGGGCCAGCAGACCAGGGACAGCCTCCCACACCGGCGCCCTGCCGAGCTGCCCGAGGGCCGCTGTGCTGTGCTGGCCCCCTGAGAAGGCCCGCGGAGGGTCTGCCCGCGAGGAGCCCGCGCCTGCCGGCCTGGGCCGCCGCGGTCCTCAGTCCCCAGACGGGGCCGCACGGGAGACCCCAGGCCCTGCAGGCTCCGTGTTTCGCGGCCCGGGGAAGCCCCGTCCTCCCGTTCCCCAGAGAACACTCGATCGGCCCCGAGCGTTTTGTCAGAAACTAACAACCTCTTTCAAAATTGCTTTGCAGCAGATGCTGATGGACCCGGAGGTGCCGGCGCAGGAGAGCTGCATCAAGAAGGTAGGCGGGCGCCTCCGCGTGCTCGGGAGCGGGGCCGGGCCGTCGGGCAGCGCGCGGGCATCAGCCACTGCCGTGGGCACCGGCGGGGGCTGGACATGACCAGGAGGGGCCGGTCTGGCGTGCCAGCAGGTGGGGTCACGCGGCGCGCCGGGGGTACCTACGCCACGCAGGCTCAGCAGAGTCTGACGAGCAGGTGTGTCACGCGTGTCTGCACTGGACGCTCGCACTGGCCGTGGCCCCACAGGCACTTGTGGGCTGAGCCCTGGCGCCTCGGGCGTGCGAGTGAGCAAGTGCTGCTCTCAGTGGGGCAGGCGGGTGCCAGCTCAAGGTCCAGAGTGCGGAGTAGGCCCAGAAAAGTCACATGTACACACACACACACACACACACGCACACACGCACACACGCATGCACACGGACGTGCCTGCTGTGTACATTGCAGGCCAGCAGCTGGGGTCAGATCTAGAAATCTCCAAACCCAGAAACCACTTGTCAGAGTTCAGCTTCCATTAACTCAGGGAGTTAACACGTGCACACACATGCGCACACACGCACTCCACACACACACCGCACACGGTAGCTTAGCTGACCAGGCATTCTGGATTGTCCAGTGGAATAAAATAGCATGCTCTCTCCCGGCACCTGTGCTCAGCCGAGCAGGGGGGACAGTGGTGGACGGTGGGGGACAGCGGGTGGGGCTGCCAAGTGCCCCTCATGTCAGCATCACGGATGGGCGCGGGTGTCCTGCCCACCTCTCATGGGCCACGGCTTGGCCGAGTGCCCGTGATGGAAGGCCGCGCTGGCTGCGGGAGGAGGTGAGGCCGCGCTGGCTCACCAGACGTGGTCGGGTCCTCGGCCCTGCTTGGCAGCGTGAGTCGGGCACCTGGGCAGAGCTCCAGGAGGGAGGGGACCCGCCGTGGGGGGACCAATTGTTGGGGGTGGCACCTGCCGCAGGCAGGCTCACGGTATGGCTTGGGAGACGCCCTGGGCCTCGCAAGCTCGCCACCTCGGTGCCGGGGCCACCTCACTCGGGCTGAGTCTGGCTGCTGGGAACCTTTGTCCACGCGCCGGACAGTCCCTGCCCGCCTCCCTCCGCCACAGCGCTCTCCCGCCCACGCCCTCAGACCCGTCCAGAGCTGCCACCGCCGCGGCTGCAGAGCAGGGCTGCACCATCCACCCAGGGGCCGCGCCAGCCTCTGGCCTTCCAAGGTGAACCCGAAATCTTTTTTCCTCCACCACAAACACGGGACGGACCGTCTGACGCCGTGGGGAGGGAGGCAGGAGGTTGATGACGGCGGGAGCAGGGTCTGGCCTGAGCATCAGGGTCAAGACAGGAGGCCACAGGTCAAGTCTAAATAAAGGCAGGGGTTGTGAGGAGGCCAGGCCAAGGGCTGCAGCCCCTCCAGGGCCTCGGCTGGCCGCTCGGCCCAGTGTCGGGGGTGGTTACCGAGGGGCAGAGTGCCGGGTGCTGGGGGCGGGACCCCGCCGAGCGCGGGTGCTTGTCAGCCTGCTGAGGTCCAACTCGCCAGCTCGCTCAGAACAGGGCCGGGCCCGCAGCCGGAAGGTCAGGAAGGCCAGCAAGGGGCGCGGTCAGAGCGGCCTCCTGACCCCAGCCCAGCGCCTCCCCTCAGGCTCTCGTCACGCTGATCCCCGCTGACTTCAGGGTTTTCCAGCCTCTGCCAACCTGAGTCGTGGGCACCTGGGGCCTCCAGCTGTGCTGGTCGGGGACCCAAGGGCATGTCTGTGGGGCTCAGGGAAACCCAAGCCTGGCGCTTGGTCTGGCCCTTTGTCCAGGGGCTCAGAAGGGGGGAGGCTAACGCAAAGGCAGACGGTCGCCCACGGGGGTCAGGAGGACGGGTCCACGCAGCCGCCAGCTGGCCTTCTTTCCAGAATGCACGCCCGCCTGAGGACAGGCGCGTCCTCAAGGCCAGGAGGGCCTGGGAACGTGCCCCCGACCGTGGTGCCTCCCAGGCCCGAGAGGGTCCGTGTAGGGCCGACCCGGCGATGCCTTTCTACCGGAGTCAGACTCCTGTCACTCAGCTGGTGACTCGGCGGTGGTGTCCGGCCCATGGGGGCTCTTCCCCCGGGACACCCCTGCCTGGGGGCCTTACAGTAAGTCGGCACACGTTGGGAAGCGGGGGGCCGTGCCTCTGGGCCTCAGTCCTCCCGTCCGTGCCTCCTGCTCTTTATCCCTAGCAGAGGCGCAGGGCATCAGCTCCGTCGGGCCGACCAGAGACGCGCAAGACGGGGTCTTCCGCCGAGGCAGGCTCCAAACTGGGCGTAGGGTGCAGCCCCCGCTGGAGGCGCCCTGGCCCAGGACGTGGGATTTGAACCTGGGACCAGCTGGTCCGCACCCCAGGCCGGTTCTGTGAGAGGCGCCAGAGCGGGGGGCCCCTCCAGAAGGGGCGGGGTCCCCACCTGACTGAGCCTGGCCCCAGCCCCTCAGCCCCACCCCTCGCAGCCCCGTGCACCTGGGTCTCCCTGGTCCCCACGTCTCCCTGCGCCCCTCGTTCTTCTCCAGCCCCGTCCCCCCTTCTCTGCCTCCCCTCCGGTCCGCGGCCCCCGCTGTCCCCGGCCCCTGCGATGTGGGCGCAGATGAGACGGCCCGCCCCCGCCGCGCCCCGCCGCCGCGCCCGCGCGCCCCTCGCCCACCACGCAAAGTCACTTTGGCTGCAGGCTGCCTGCGCGGCCTCTCCTCCGCGGAGCAGGAGCTGGGCCCTCTGGGACTGCGACCCTATTTAGTCTCTGTTTACTTAGCGGGAAAGCCCGGGGCTCCGGAGAGCAAACAGCTGCGGGAGATAATCTAGCAGCTGTCCATCCATCACCCCGGCCTCCCTGGAGAGCCCGGCCGAGCCTGTAATAAAAAGGCCGGGCGAGGAGGCTTTGGGGACGAATAAAGAGCCGTGTTAAGGGCCGCTGGAAATGGATGGAAGACGTTATTAAGGCTCAATGGCCGTCTTATCAAAATCCAATAGGATACACATTTGGCAAAGGGCTTAAATTTATTCTTTGACTTTCTGGAGGGCTGGAATTTATCCGCTAACAAGAGTGTAGTCCACCCGGGGAGATGGTATCAGCTGAAAGAATTTGATCCAATCTCTGGTGATGTGAAAAGGGGGCGCAGCCGCCCCGCAGCCCCCTCCTGCTTTGTCTTGTTTGCTGTCCCCCTCGAAGAGGAAGGGCCGGAGAAACGCAAACAAAGAGCCGTGACCCTCCTCGGTTTCATTCCCCCCTCCCCCGCCCCCCACCCTCGGCACAGCAGGACGGGCACCGGCAGGGCCCGGTCAGGTGCTGTGGACGGGGGCGCCCGCCGGGGCTCAGGGCCGGGGGGCCGGAAGGAGAGTCCCAAATAAATTGAGCTAATAAAGTCCGACTGCCGGAACAGGGCGCGTGATGGGTCCATAAATCTCCCCGTTATTACGTACAAAATGCTACAGGTCATAAAAGTCATCTCCCGGCCCGCCTGGCTTCGGCCGCCGGGTGATCGATTGATAATTATGATAATTTGTGAAATGATTATTTGGATGTTAGGGCCGTGGTCTGTCCCGCTGGGCTTCGGAAGTGGACCTTTCTACAGCCTGACCGCGGCGAAAGGCCTCGGGGAGCGGGCAGCCCTAAGGGCCCCTCCGGGGTCCTTCCCGTGGGGACCCGGGGGCCCCCAAAGGCAGCTCTGGGCCCGGCCGAGCGCGGCAGCCCCAGCGAGGCGGGACAGGCAGCGGCTGCTAAGTGTCTTTTGTGCAGCAATTACTTAGCAGGCCACACACCCGGGGTCCCGGCGCCCCAGCTGCCGGTCCTGGCCTCGGGGGCATCTGAGCTGCCGCCCTCGCTGGGCAGGCTCCCGGCCCTGCGCTCACTTCCTCTGCATTGTTCCCCGAGGAAGGGACTATTTTCAGGGCGGGGGCGGGAGGGGAAGGGAGGTCACTGGGGCGAGGTGGGGAGATGTGCAAACGCGGAGCCCCAGGCTGGTGGGAGCTCTCGCTGCCTCGCCGCCTCGGCGGGGCTGGGCGGGGGCCCTCTGGTGCTCTCGGCTCGGCCCTGCGCGCCCTGCCCACGTCGGCCAGCCTGGGTTTGGAAGCCCCTCTCTCCTCCCCTGGGCTCTCCAGCGCGCCCCGGCCCAGCGGCAGCTCGCCCGCCGCCCGCATGCTCCACCGCCGCCCGCCCCAGCGCCCCCGGCGCAGCCCCAGGCCGGAGCGCCCTGCCATCGCGGTTATTAATTTGCATGTAGGATCAGTTATGTCTTTATGAAATCAAAGTGTGTTTAGCTGCCACGGAGACAACCCGAGTTGATTTTGATAATCTCAGGCTGAATAGACCCGCTTCGTTCCAGTAAGCCCCGCACAAAGGGCTGGACAGTGGCTGAGAGCCCTGACGACATGTCTCTCGTTCCTTTGTTCCGGGCTGCTGATAAAAGAGCTGGGAGTCCATTAATTCAGTGAATGAACATATAGTAAAGTCAGTCCCTCTTGAGAACGACAATGTGGAGGTCAGCTTCGGTCGCCATGGAAACTAAGTTCTCCTAAGAAGTTCTCATCCTTGATTTTGCTGAATCAAAGGCCGCAGAGCCGAGAGGTGTGAGGGGGCCGGGCCCGGAGAGGCGGCCAGCCTGCCCCCTGCCCGAGAGCTCCTGGCCGCGGCAGGCCCGAGGACCCCAGCGCCTCCCGCCCTGCCCCCCCAGGCCTGCCTTCTCACCGCAGGGGAGGCTTATCTCAAGAGGCCCCTTAGCCGAGACTTTGGTGCCCGGGGCAGAAAATCAGGCCGAGGGAGGGGCCGCAACCTGGAAGCAGCCCTGGCTGGACTCTGACCTCCGGCTGCCCTGCAGCTCCTGAACTTGCCCCGGCGGGGGCCGCGCTGTGGCCCCTTCCTGCGCTGATAAGGGTGATTTATGGGCCGATACAGTGGCGGGGTGAGTTATGGGCAGCACCAGGCCGGGTGACGAGGTTATAAATGTAACCTGTTTGCATTTTGCCCGCCCCCCCAGTCTAAATTGAGTTGATTGTGCCTTC